CCTACACAAGATTCAGCTGCAACTCAAAGCTGTTAACTCTCCTGCTACAGAAAAGCTGCAGAAGATTAAATAAACCAACAAAAATATCAGTGGGCACAAGGGTGGTGTGTACATCTACTCCCATTCACTATCAGCCAAGCAGAGATGAAACGGCATTAAGACAAAACAGATCCTCTGTTGTAAGGTGTAGCAGCTGCCATTGTTGTGCCTAAACATGCGTCAGGAGACACTGTTTGTTGCCCTCTCAAAGCACTGTGTGCTGGAAAAGTATACAGAGGAGTGGGCTGCATTTTATCCATGTTAAAAATTGTGCGTTTCTTTTACAGGAAAGAGCAGAGAGAATAAAACTGGAGTAAAAGGTAATTATAGTTAACTAAAGTTAACTTTTAAATGAAAGTAACAGTAATACTAAAAGGGACTATGATGCAAACATGAGTGTAAGTAAGAATAAGTATTCAGCCTGTCAACCTAAGTTTGCAAAACGTAATGCAGTACCTTTCCTGCAGATTTTTATTTAGAAAAATCATTCATTTAATTCATAGGATGAAAACAGAGCTGACATTGCATTTTCTTTTCTCTGAAATGCATTTATTGTAAAGACAAAAACACAATGTCCAGCAGAACACCAGAAATGAGTAAAACATTTACATGCAAAGGGTCAAGAACTCTAAAGCTTAATCACTAAAATAAGCACTTTAAAACTCTAGCTGAAAGCAATGAGGACATTACCCAGTTCAGGAGAGAAAAGCAATAATAATCTTAGTGTCAATAAAAGCAAAAGTTGTGAAAAGAGTGGGGCAAAGGGTGCTTTAAAAAGTAAATAAATCGACAGTGAACAACCCACCTGACTCACTATGACTAGTCAAACTGAGTACAACAAATAATACTAAGTCCTGGGTGTTGCAATGCTGACTGCTCCCAGCATATCCAGGAAAGTCTTCCAAAAGGCAGATATTAGGACAAAGAAAATGAGTGCTGTATTGTTCTACTGCCTTTGTACCGATGTCAAAGTGAAGGCAGCAACAGAGAGGGTGAGTAGGGGGACTGGAGGAGGTGGAGGGAAGAATCTCCTCAAGCTCTCAACAAGTTCTTTATAGCAGACCTAAAAATTACCCACTGGAAAACCATCTTCTTTCATATTTTGGAAAAAATAAAGTTAGTGCATTTTATAATCGATGCTATAGATATTCTTACAAGATTTTTAGATGCAGAAATGCCAGTGATTTCAGGATGAATTAAGAATAAACAGCATTGCCCAATGGCTGCAAGATATTCATAGCAAATCTCATACTAAGACATGTTCTGCAGTGAAGATGCTGTCCTGAAAAGCTATGACACCTAAACCCTGGAGCAGAGCTGGGAGCCAGCTCTCTATTCCTGAACAACCAGTGATCAATGCCCTGCAACAAGACAAAAATACACAGGCCTATGCATCAACGTAAACCTCCAGCAATGTTGCACATGGATGCATAAATCTACAAGGATCATTGCTATTGTCATTTCAGATCCTAGTTCCCAATCTGATATAATAAAAGAGCCTCTCATATTTGCTGTGCCTTTCCTCTTTGGACCATATACACTTCAGGTCTGTAGGAGGCAGCTTGCCTCTACCTACAGTGTTTCCAGGGGTCATTATCTCCCATAGAGCATAAATCTTAGAAGTGGAGCCAAATCTTGTTCAGGTCTCTTGTCTATCACATATTCTTTTTCTGTTGCTTTCTCACACGTGTCATTCACATTCCGAAGCAGCCTTTCTCCCTTCATCCTGTCATCAAAACTCTTTCTTAAGCACAGATCTCCCACTGACACTGCAGGGAGCTGTGAACATCCAGAAATAACTCCAGGAATCTGCGCAAGTTCATCCAGTCGTATGAAGGTACCGCATCCTCTCCCACATACTCTGTAACAAAATGGCACCACATTTCTCTGCAAACAAAAGGCCAGAGTATTGCAGTGGAATTAAAATAATCAAATCCAGTATTATATGAAACAAAACCCCAAGTTATCACATTTGACAAATGCAATTTTCTTCTGTTCTTCTTTTCTATCTTGTCTCCATCAGAAAGAATGCCACTAAGACATAACATTTTTCTTATTAATATCAGGAGAGAAGTAATCCTTACCTTCATGGGTATACTTTTGTCAAAATCAGGGAAGTGAACAATCTTATTTAACTTTGACACATACAAGATAAGTATAGTGGCTGCCATCTAAACAAAAAGAAAAAAAAGCAAGAAGTCGTGAAGAAGCAAAATTGTTACGTATGAATAAAAGACAAAATCTTTACAGACATTTGACAAATGCTAGGTGTTACATATTTCTTTCAAAGAATACCATAGCACACAATTAATAAACTGGAATAACTTCATTCTTATCATTTTTTCCAGCTATTTATTTAAAAGTAGAGTACAGACATATGCTTTAATAGCCTAAGAAAATCAGCACCACCCTGTGCAACCCTGTGCGCACTGAGAAGGAGCTAAGAAAATAAAACAGGGCAGACCCCTAAATAATCACTCAGAGCATTGCTTAGTCTGTGGAATTATTCCTACAGCTTTTTTGGTAATGTGAGATGGGGATTGTGCATTGGTCAGTATGACGACAACATGAGGAATACATATTAAAGATATGGACAGAATGAAGGAGAGAAAGTAAGCCACATCGTAAGAGTTAATGCTGGCCCCAGGAAGGAAAAAAAGTTCAAATTTTCTTTATATAGAAATATAATTGACTATCTAGGGGACGGGGTAGAGTCATGTCCTGGAGACTAAAGCATTATACCATACTACATGCATTTTACAAAGTGTCCAGGGAAAACGTGGAAGGATCAGTCAACAAAAAATGGAGTCGTAATGTTCTGCAAAGAAACCAAGCCATATCCCTGGCCTTAGTGTGAACCACTGCCACCTTTTCTAGGCCTGGGCTTCCACTGAAACACGATGTGTGGATCTGAGCTGTCTGGATGTGCGACACTCTCTCTTTTCCTCTCTCATAGCAAAGGATTTTGCTCCTCTTCCACACCAAACGTCATAAACACCAGATTTGGGGCACCCTGTTTTCACCTCTTCCTCACTGTCCCTTAGCCTATAACGTAGGCAGAAAGCAAATAGTCTTTTTAAATGTATTTGCCTAAACAACACTTGCTTTAAGGCTCCATCTTTCCCAGACATCCCTCTCCATAGTCACGTTATTCTTTATGGACCACGTATGCAAACATTTGAGCTTTGCTCTTATAATGATGCCTCCTAACAACAAAAATAACAAAAAATACATTTCTGTGGCAATACTGCAAATTGCCCATAGGAAAATGAGGCAACAAAGAACTAAAATTGGGTGGCAGTCCTACTAGAAATTTGATGGAAAG